GAATAAATCTGTGTCCAATAATTTTGTGTCCAATAATTTGGTGTCGAATCGATCGGTGTCGAATCGTACTGTGGTCAAACGGAACACGCCCGATTAATTCAACTACAATCACAAATATCTGCAGATTTTCAACGTTCTACCCGATCCATATTTGAAGTTGCAAAATGGAAAGCAACTGAGTTTAGGTTTTTTTTATTATATTGTGGTCCAATAGTTTTAAAAAGCATCTTACNAAAGAAATTATACAATCATTTTTTCTTATTTCATGTTGCTTGCAGAATATTATCTTCAAATAACTTAGCTTTAAAATTCAATACTCAAGCCAAAAACTACTTACAAAATTTTGTACAGTTATCTAAGTACTATTATGAGAAACAATGTCAGATAATGAATATGCATTATCTTACCCATCTAGGAGATGATGTGCAAAATATGGGATGCTCCCTTAGTGAGTTTACTGCCTTTCCATTTGAAATCACGGTTGGAAAGATGAAGAAAATGCTTTGAAACGGGAATCGACCTTTGACACAATTATGTCGACGGTTACACGAGACATTATTTGCCGACCAAACAAAAGTAATTTTACAATTACCGATTAAAATTTTAAAAACACAATCCGATGAGGTGAATGGCCGTGTCATTATTAAGAAATTAATATATAAAAATGCAATATTATCTTTGAAAAGTCCAGATAATACAGTTCTTCTAAATAACGGCAAAATTTTAATGATCAATGATATGTATAGTTTTTCACATCAGTTAAATTTTGATGATATTGGGATTACGGGAATTGTGTTAAAAAAGAAAAGTCCAATTTTTACATATCCATGTAATTCTAAATCTCTTGATATGTGGGAAGTGTCTCAAAAACACGGTTCTAAAATTACGTGCTCTTTAAGTTCTATTGTTACTAAACTAGTTATTATTATTATGAACGATACTTCAAAAAAATCCAAAATGTATACCATGCCTCTTCTTCATATGTAAATATTATAATTTTTAATGAAGATAATGTTATAATTTAGTTCTGTTGTAAATATATATTTTAGTTTTGTTGTAAATATATTAACATTTCGTCTATATAGGTACTATATACTTAAGGAGGTTCCTTCGATTCTGGCGAATATAGAGAATGACTTCAAATTTTGAGGGTATATTTAAGAAGCCGATTCTTACACACTTGAATTTTTTCAAAATTTTCTACCATCTAGTTTTCGAGAAACAATGATGCAAATATTGCTATTTTTATACAGTAATGATAGGAAAGCTATGCATAACTTGCGATATTACTTTAATATTTCAAATTTGAATATAGAGATAAAAATAATAAAGCAGAAAAACATTCTTTAAAGCTTACTAAACCTATTAAATCAAAAATGAGAGGTTTCTACCATCTAGTTTATTAATAATATTCATTTAAAGTACAAAAGTAAGCATTTCCGAACTTGACCACGCGAGCTTCATAGGAAACGTGACAACGTCGCAATCTCAGCTGTTATCTAAAGGATGTAAGTTATTGTGGTTAGAATGTTTTATATATGGATACTGTCCAGTAAAAATATTAATAGAATTGTTTATAAATAAGATATTTGAAATAAGTAAAATAATAATGAAAAACTTAAAGTGCAGAGAATTTTTATTAATAATTATTGAAATATTAACTTTAATAAGTTTAATTTTACAAACTATTAAAAATTTTTTCTAGAAAAATTTATGATCTTTAAATTAATACTTTTGTAATTTGTAGTTTTAAAAATGTACTACACATTTTTGATTACATATTATGAAGAATAAAGTAATACAACATGTTACATAAAAGTAATATTTAAATGTTTCTTCACCATTTATTAACTTTTCAACTTTAAACATATAATTTTCTTATTACATTGGTGCTAATGAAACAAAGTTTAGAACAGTATTATTATTAAACCAAAAACTATATTTTTTAAGTAAAATATATTATGGTTTTGTTTCTTATAAACTAATTCGTGTCATTTTACTTATAATGTATATATTTATCAAAAAACATTTTTATATATCTTTAAGGTAATTTCGTATTACAAATCTTAAACATTACTTATTTATCACAGTCATCTATCACAAAAGAAATATATTAAATCACATTAGTTATATCTTTCAGATGAGTCATTATTTTGGTAACAACTTTTTTTTGCTTTAACAATGTCGGTTTTCCATTTTTTGATTGCTGGACTAAACGTACAGCTTCTTTTTCACTTTTTTGAGAATAAGTGTTTACAAGAGATTCATAAGATATTCCTGCATTTGCCAAACGATCAATGACACCTTTAGAGATAATGTTTTGCAAAGGTTTCAGTGTTGCTAAGATTGTTTTTCGCTGTTGTGTATTTTGAATTTTCTTAAAAGCATCAATAAAAGTAATCTTTGAATCAATGATTTCTTTTGTTGTAAAATGATGTTGAGTAACTTTTTCTAAAAGCATGACATCATAATTTGCATCATGTGCTCCTTTGACTGAAAGAGAAAGTGTTTCATGTGCAAGTGTAGTAAGTTTAAAACTATTTTTTCCTTTTCTATTAACAAATTTTTTTTTTAAAAGTGGCAATGTATCCACAAAACCAGTTACTACTTTATAAAATTCTTCTAAAAGATTAACTCTATAAATATTTTTTATCAAACGAGGAGCATCAAAGGAAAAACAATTGTGTGCAACCAATAAACAAGGTTTATTAAGTTTGATAAGAAATTGAAGTACTTGATCCATTGCAATTCTTAAAGGTACAGATGGAACAGTCTTTCCATGAAGCAATAATTGTCTTTGGTGTTCAGTTAAACCATGAACTTCAAAGGCTTTATTACTTATCGGCTTAAAAAGATTAATATAAATACTAACAGCAGAGTCGTTATGTTTTAAAGCAATCTGTAAAATATCACAGTTTGAACTCAAATCTGAGGTTTCTAAGTCAAAGAACACAATACATATGTTGTTCGAGCTACTTTCATCCATTGTAAATTGTTCAATATTTTTATTCATAAAATTAATATTTTCTGTATTTTCTTTCTCTTTATCACTAACAGATGAACACATATCAAGTAATGTCATATTGCTCTTATACAATATAGGCT